CTTTATCGTGACAATTTTTGGCTTGATAGACAGAATCAATTTTCATGGAAGGAAGTGACTGATTATATAAGCAGGAAGAGTCGAAATGGAGGTTTCAAATTGAAGGAGATAACGTTTAGAAGAGAACGATTTCTAAAGATGCATCAGCCTCAAATCTATATTCAAAAATTTTCGAAAATAAAAGCAGGGGGAGGAGCAATGTTGAAGAAGAAAGTACTGTTGAAGAAGGAGGACTGGAAAAAATATAGAAAGAAAGGAAGAATTGAAGATTAGTTTCTTTTGGGGAGGCTGGAAAAGAGGAAGAAGATCAAGCTATTTTGACTTTGGAGCAGGAAAAAGAGGCTGTCAGGATCACGATGGAAGTTAGCACACTGAAAACAGAGGTTTTGGCAGAAGCTTCTATGCAGTTAACTGAAAAGTTAACTAATAAAGTTAACTAATAAATCTAATCTAATAAATTTGAAAAGTTTACTGAAATTAAGTTTAAGTAAAAATGTTTAATTAAAAATGGATAGCTTTTTTAAAAAAATTATCGAGGTATTAAAATGCTTAACTTTAAACTTAATTGATAACTTTCTGAAAGTTTTGAAATTGATATTTTGAAGAATGAACTCAAGAGTTAGAAATAATTTAACTCAGTGGATTACTAGTATTTTTAAGATTATATGGATAGCTTTTTTTAAAAAAAGTTTTGAAACTTATATCTTGAAGAATGTCTTATTAAAGGTATTAAGAGATTTTAAAAGGTTTAACTTAAAATAATATATATTTTTTTCTTTTCTTTTAAAAAGATATGCTTTAAAGAAAGTTTTAAAATGTTTAATTTAGAATTTTAAAAGGAGAGGCTGATGAATAATTTTTAAAAGAGGAGTTAAAGAGTGTGAGGGAGTTTTGAATCTTGTAGTAAGTTAGTATATTTTAGCTTATGCTTGTTTAATGTTACATCCTGTTTTTGCTCTGGGAAGTCGGGGGTGAGGGAGGGGAGGGGGGTTGAAGGTTGTTGGGGATAAAATTGTTGTTTAATTTTTAATAAAACTAAAAGATAGATAAATGTATTAATAGAGAAGTAAGAAATGTGGGGGAAATGTCATAATAAAGGAAATGATAATATTAAGATATGATAAATATTGGAGGAGTAAAAAGAAGATACAAAAGATGTATTCAGAAGATATATTGAATGATTGATTATGTATTGTTTGTTTGTTTATAAAATAAAAACTTTTAATGATTAAAAAAAATTAAAAAAAATTAAATAGTCAGAGATGGCACCAACTGACTATATCGGGACGCCGGAAGCCACAGCCACTCAGTCTTGGATGGTTTGAGCTTGAGCCTGTTTCTCCCCATCCAGATCCGTACGGCCTCCAGATACCGGGACATCACGTCAAGGGCATCATTGGGGTGGTCCGGGGTGGAGATGTACAGCTGAGTGTCATCAGCGTACTGATGGTACTTCACCCCGAAACCACGGATGATCTCACCCAGCGGCTTCACATAAATGTTGAACAGAAGGGGCGAGAGGACCGATCCCTGCAGCACCCCACATACAAGGCGCCTTGGGGTCGACCTCTGGCCCCCCGTCAACACAAACTGCGGCCGGTCAGAGAGGAAGGAGGAGAACCACCGCAACACAGTGCCCCCCACCCCTAACCTCTCCAACCGGCACAGCATGATACCATGGTCGATGGTATCAAAAGCTGCTGAGAGATCTAACAGGACCAGGACAGAGGAATAGCCCCTGTCCCGAGCCCTCCAGAGATCATCAACCAATGCGACCAATGCCGTTTCCGTGCTGTGCCTAGGCCTGAAGCCCGACTGGAATGGATCGAGATAGACCGCTTCATCCAGGTACTGGGGAAACTGTCGCGCCATCACACTCTCAACAACCTTCGCCAGAAAGCAAAGGTTGGAGACTGGATGATAATTTGCTAAAACAATTTGCTAAAGCCCTCCAGGGAGGGCTTCTTGAGGAGGGGCCTCACCACCGCCTCTTTCAAGGCGGCAGGAAAGTAGCCCTCTCTCAAAGAAGCATTAACAACCCCCTGGAGCCAGTCTCATGTAACCTCTTGGAAAGCCAGCAGCAACCAGGAGGGACACGGGTCCAATAAACAATTGGCTGCACTAAGTCTATCCAGAATCCTGTCCACGTCTTCAGGGGTCACTGGGTCAAACTCCTCCCAGATAACGCTCTCAAGACCTGTCTCCGTCACCCCACCTGTATCTACCCAGTCAGAGTCCAGGCCTTCCCGAATTTGGGCGACTTTATCATGCAGTTACTGCACAAAATCCTCAGCCCTGCCCTCCAAGGGGTCCCCCCACGCGCCCGGATGGAGCAGGGAGTGGGTCAACCTGAACAGGGCAGCTGGGCGGTTATCTGCAGATGCGATAAGAATGGAAAAATAATTAAACTTTGCCGTTTTTATCGCCACTAGGTAGGTCTTAATATGAGACCTTACCAGTGTTCGGTCGGATTCGGAAAGGCTAGCCCTCCAACTGCTCTTTAGGCGTCTTTTCCGGCACTTCATTTCCCTCAGCTCCTCGGAGAACCAGGGAGCTAAGTGAGATCGGTGGCGGGTCAGAGGCCGCAAAGGCATGACACAGTCCAAAGCTCCAGCAGCCGCCCTATCCCAGGTGACCACCAGGTCTTCAGCCGGGTCATGAGCCAGAGCCTCAGGCAAAAGCCCAAGCTCCGTCTGGAACCTATCAGGATCCATCAGGCGCCTGGGGTGGAACCACCTAGTCGGTTCCGCCTCCCTGCAGCAGGGTGTAGTGGTTTGAAGGTCAAGTTGAAGGAGAGAATGGTCAGACCATGACAAGGGTTTAATCACTACATCCCCTATATCTAAACCATTCAGCCACTGGCCAGAGATGAAAACCAAGTCCAGAGTGTGTCCCCCTATGTGTGTAGGGTCATGAACTAACTGGGTCAGGTCCATGGCCGTCATGGAAGCCATGAACTCCCAAGCCGCCTCAGACGTTTCACCAACGGACGGCAGGTTGAAATCCCCCATAACCATAAGTCTGGGGGTATCAACCACCATCCCGGCTATCACGTTGAGCAGTTCAAGCAGGGCTGCCGCCATGTGGCAGGGAGCCAGGTACGTGATCAACAGGCCCACCTGCACCCCATGACCCCACTTCACAAAGAGGGACTCACATCTGGTTATCTGAGGCATAGTGGCCTCCTTCGGACCAAGACCTTCCTTTATAGCAACCGCTACCCCCCCTCGCCCCTCCCCTGAACCCTCGGCTGATGGAATGCTCGGAAGCCTGGTGGGCACATTTCAACAAGGGGAACCCCCCCTCCTGGCCCAACCAGGTCTCCGTAATACCCGCCAGGTCCACTCCCCCCTCTTGAACAAGATCACAAATGAAGGGGGCTTTATTTACAACAGACCTGGCGTTGCACAACATCAGCCAAAGGCCCGGGCCCTGAGATCTGCGCAACCTGGGGAATGAGAGGAGCATTGGGGGCGGGAGCGCACCACCGCTCGGAGACAGCGGGCTTGCCCCCCCATAACCGGATATGGCCCCCTGCTCCTGCCATATCTGTCCCTCCCATTTACAGTACTGATGGTATCAGCCTCCTCAGTACGGACTCTAACCCCCTCATTGACTCCGAACCTCGCACCCCCCATTATGTAGCCCACTGTCGGACCCGGCCTCCCCCTCAGTGGGTTATCCTCCAAACCCACAACCCTACCCCTCCAAACCCCTTAAAACTTTGGTTAAAAAAGAAGTTTAAAAACCCCCTCAGCCCCCTCTTCGTCACATGCCACCTCTCGGGATTCCATTTCAAATATGATTTTCCAGATTTTTTAAGATTAAAAGTAATTTCAAAGTGTTTCCTATACTAATATGTATCTTTACAATATGCTTTTGTTTGAACCCAACTCAAGAATAAACTTGAGTTTTCAAAAAAGTTAGTGAACTGGATGTATGGGTAGTCCCAGACATAAATGTAAATTTATGCTGTACAACAGTTCATTTTAATAAGAGTTCAGTTATAGTAGCACTGAAAAAAACTGACTTATGACTGTTTTTCATACTTATGACAATTGTAGCATCCTTATGGTCACATGATCAAAATTCAGATGATTAGCAACTGACTCATATTTATGATGGTTGCAGTGTCCCGGGGTCATGTAGTCACTTTTTGTACTTTTTCTTGTCATTTCTACGGACAAGAAAAATCAATGGTGAAGCCAGATTCACCTAATAATCGTTTTACTAACTTAACAATTGCAGTGATTCATTTACCAAGAAAGATGATAAAATGGAACAAAACTCAACAACTGTCTGGTTTAGCAGCAAAAATTTTGGACACAAATTTGGAGGATTACCTGAATTATATTTTTTTATTAATCCAGCTCCACAATACAGGCATTTAAAATTTTTATAACCATAATAAATTTTCTCCCTTTGTATATTTATTAAACTGATTGCATATTTCCCTCTTTTCAAAAAAACTGCTTATACAGTATGTTTTCCAGCAACAATACAGGAGATAAGTAAATAATGAATGTTCACTAATACAAAGAAGAGCAATAATACTATATTTAGTATTATAATATAAATTACAATATAATTTTAGCATAAGTGTCAGAAGAAGGAAAATACTATTTAGAGTTTGAAGCAAAGGAGAAAAGTATTTACTAAAGACATAAATGTAATAGTTGTGTAATTTAAAATGTTTGTCCTATGTAAAAACATATAAACATGTTTTTATTTTAGATTAAACAATTGCATGATTAGAAAAGTTACTATTATTCTTAACCCCCTTGCCCCCCATTTCTGTTCATGGTAGAAGCTGCTATTTGTGCAGCTTTTCATCTTAATATATAATCAGAAACATCTAAACAAGAAAAATGTCAAATGAACTCTAAGACCAAAAAATTTAAAGTCTTCTAGTCAAGCCTAGCAGTTACATATTTTGCCTTCACTATCTATATGTTTGAATGCAAATATAATTCTGAAAGAAGCTGACAAATGTTTTTCAGCTAAAAACATGGATGCATCTCCAGTTTCTTCTATTAGAACATTAAACAAGAATTTCATACTTCAAGGATCTCTGACACAAAGAACAAAAAAAGAAAAAAATATAATTGCCAAGGATTTGATGGTAAGTATTAAATAAAAGTTTAACATTCATTCCCAGATATTAGAAGAAAAGAGATTAGTGAGAAAAAAATGTTACAAAAATCTTTTATATGATATCCAGTCATCTCAAATCATCTGTCAGCCCATTCTTTATTAATGGAATAATGACAAATTCCATTCTGATATGCTGTCCTGGAAAACCTTACAGCTCTATTTAATATAGACGTTGAATAATTAAACAATAAGCATAGTTAGAGAAAATATAATTTTCATATTATCCAAGCCAAATTTGGTGCAAATTTTATCAGCAAATCATATTGAATTAAACTGAAAAATCCATTAAAATATTGTTTTACATGAGTCATTTTGAGACACATCAATCAAATAACAGGATATCATGAAATTGGTAAATTATATATCTAAGTGACATTTTGGTTCATTTGTTGGGAGAAAAGATATAGTGAATGAATAGTGGATGAAATATTATTTCATCTTTTTGGTTTTCAGTATTATTTTTAAGTTTAGTTATGCTCCTGTTTATCAACACCTATTCTTTGCATAGTTTGAATTAACTAGTATATGGATCAAAGTCAAAGCATAAAATATACTAGATGAAACCAGAACAATCCAAGGAACAGTATTATAAATGATAGCAAACTTTAAAAACTCTAAAACAATTTGGCAATGAGCAATCAGCAAGCCGCAATGATGGGTCTCCAATTTCATTAACACAATAACTCCAACATAAAGAATTCATAAGCTGTCAAATGGGAAATTTGCAAATGATACTAAGCTGGCCAACACCCTAGATGGTAGGCTCAAGATACAGGTGGATCTTGACAGACTTGAACATTGGGCAAAATGAAATTAAATGTAGAGAAAAGTAAAGTCTTACACGTAGACAAGATAAAACAAAAGTACAAGTATAGATTTGGATAAACCAGGCTTAATAGCAATTACTGTGAGAGGGATCTTAGAGTGTTAGTGGACAATCAATTACATTTGAGCCAACAGTATGCAGCGGCAGCCAAAAAAGCCAGTGCAAATGTAAGCTGCATTAAGAGAGGGATCAAGATCAAGTGAGTTACTAATACCACTTTATAAAGCCTTGGGAAGACCACACCTAAAATACTGCATCCAGTTTTGGTCTCCACACTATAAAAAAGATGTTAAGACCCTAGAAAGAGTGCAGAGAAGAGCATCAAAGATGACTAGGGAACTGGAAGTGAAGACATGAAGAACGGTTGCAGGAACTGAGCATGCTACTGTAGTGAAGAGAAGGACCAGGGGAGACAGGATAGCAGTGTTCCAATACTTGAGGGGCTGTCACAGAGAGGAGGGGGTCAATCTATTTTTCAAAGCATATGAGGCAGACAAGGAATAATGGATGGAAACTAATCAAGGAGAGATTCAACCTAGGAATAAGAAGACATTTTCTGACAGAACAATCAACCAAAGGAACAGCTTGCCTTCAGAAGTTGTGGGAGCTTAATCATTGGAAGCTTTCAAGAAGAGACTGGATTACCATCTGTCAGAAATGGTGTAGGGCAGGGGTCCTCAAACTATGGCCCATGGGCCGGGTACAGCCCGCTGACACAATGTATCCGGCCCGCACAGTGGTGGGATTCAGCCCCGCCCCCTGCCTTGCCCCCCACCACCCCACTCCCACCCACTCCTCGCATGGCTGGCTTTTACTGGCTGACGGACCCGGGGAAGAGGTGCCTCATCTGCTGCGGCTGCCAGAGGGCCTGGGGGATGGCCAGAGACTGCAAAGTCCCTGTCTGGCAGCAAGAACTCCGCAGCTGGCCCTCCAAGAAACAGGCAAGGTGGCAACAGTACTTGTATCGGCAGCAGGCAGAGGGGCAGGGCGGTGAGCACATGATATGAATCACACACCTGCTCCATCCCATGTGGCTAGGACAAGGCATGTGGTTGTCCAACGTATCCAGCCTGCGGGACTGCATTGTACCTCTGTCTTTGGCTGTCGGAGGCTCCAGCTGGTCCAGAATGCGGCCGCACGGGTGGTTATGGGATGCAACTCATTGTGCCCACGTGACACCCCTCCTGCGCGAGCTGCACTGGCTCCCAGTGGTCTTCCGGGTGCGATTCAAGGTGTTGGTCACCACCTTTAAAGCGTTCCATGGCATGGGACCCGGGTACCTTCGAGACCGACTTCTGCCACCAATAGCCTCCCACCGGCCAGTTCGCTCCCACAGAGAGGGTCTCCTCAGGGTGCCATCAGCCAAGTTATGTCGGCTGGCGACACCCAGGGGGAGGGCCTTCTCTGTGGGAGCCCCAGCCCTGTGGAATGAACTGCCCCTGGAAATGCATAAGATCTCCAACCTCCGGGTATTTCGTTGTGCACTCAAGATCCTGTTGTTCCGCCAGGCTGGGCTATCAACATAACAATTTTAAATTGGGTTTTAAATTCCTGGGGTTTTAAATTGAGCCGAATTCATTTAATAATTTTAAACTATTTTAACTGATGTTGTCTTGTGTTTTTAATAGGCTGTACACTGCTCTGAGTCCTTCGGGAGAAGGGTGATATAGAAATAAAATTATTCTATTCTATTCTATTCTACTGCTCCCATTGTGGGGGAAGACAAGGTGAGGAGGGTGTGCGGCGGCTGCTGCCTACTCCCTCCCATCTCTTTTGGGTTGTGGTTGGAGATCAAGTCACCGCTGGTCATCTTCTTGGTCCCCTCGCAGGCGGCCGGCTGGGCTTCCCTGAAGTGTCACGGGGGGAGGGGGGAGTAAGAAGTGGCGCTCAACTCAAGGCTGGAGGAAGAGGGCTTTTGAGCCTCAGGCACCGGTTTGGGTAGCACCCTGCCGACTTGCCCGCTCATGCGGAAGGAAGCCTGGCTATACATGAGCCGCACCTTCCCGGAATTTGGCTGCAACCCTCCCTCTCCAGTGGCGGAGATGGCTGTCCTCTTTCAGGCAGCCAAGCGGGAGAAGGATGGGCAGCCAAGCAATGGTGGGGGTGGAAGAGAGACGGCAGCAGCTGTTGCAGCACCCACACCCTAGCTCGCTCACCTCTCATCAATCCCACTTTGCCAACAGGCACATGAGCTCGGAATGGAGATGTGGCGGGTGGAAGGCTGCAAGGCAGAAGGATGCCTTCAGTCCAGGGAAGGAACCGCAGAAGGAGCTGTGTCACTCAGGCAGCGCCCCGAAAGCGCTGTGGAGCTGCTGCCTTGCAGGACAAGGCGGGGTGCTGCTTTCTCTGCTGAACAGCCCCAGTGAAGGAGGCACATCATTGGAGGTCTCTACCCCTGGCAACTCCTGGGTGGCAATTCCGCCACCACTCGGCAGACCCATGCAGCCTGAAGGAGGCAAAGATGCCAGTTAGAAAAGTGCATTCCTCTCGCGCACCACTGAGGCTGTCAGCAGCGTGCGCAGGTCCATTAGGCTGCAGCAACCACGAGTGGGGAAAGCTTGATCCCCATCGGCGCTATGGCAGCCCAAGCCCAGCCGGGATTGCGTTCCTCCCCCCCATCTCTGCTGGACCTGGGTAGCCAGGGCTCCAATGGGGATCTGGCTTTCCCCACTCGCGGTGGCCACTGCCGGTTTGGGTAGTCGGCAGGGCGCTGCCCAAACCGGTGTCTGAGGCTCAAAGGCCCTCTTCCTCCAGCCTTGGGGTGAACGCCACTTCCTACCCCGCCCCCCGCCCCCGCGACGCTTCAGGGAAGCCCAGCCAGGCGCCGCGTGTTCTGTCTGGTTGCGGACAGGGAAATGCTGGGCTTTCTCCCATTTCCTACAGGGTCCCTCTATTGCACCCACTGCCGCAATTGGGTGCGCGAGGGGAACATGCTTCATGCACAGGCAAAGGGCAAGACCTGCGAGGGGACCAAGGCAGTGGTGGGTTCCTCCCGGTTCGGTCCGGTTCGGCCGAGCCGGTAGCGGTGACGATATGACGTTACCGAACCGGTTCTTCCCCCCCGCCCTCCCACCCACGTTATTCTTACCTTTTATTTGGTCCCACCCCCAATCTATTGCTGCCTCCTGAGTCCCAGCTGATGACTAGAGGGAAAAAAACTGTTTAAACTCTTGCCTCGGGGCTTCAAAGGGCCGTCCTATAGCTGATCAGTGTTAAAAGCAAACAAATGAGTCAGGTCATAAGTACGAGGACTGGTCGTAAGTGTGAGGACCTTCCAGAAATGATTCTGACCAGCTAGCCACGCCCACCTAGTCACATGACCTCCAAGCACACCCACAAAATAAGCCACGCCCACAGAACCAGTAGTAAAAAAATTTAGAACCCACCCCTGGACCAAGGACAAGGCCAGCTGCAGAATCCCTGCTGCCAGACAGGGACCTTGCAGACACCCTGCCAAGTGGCAGCGGAGTTGCCACTCAGGAGCTGCCAGGGGTAGAGACCCCCAATGATGTGCCTCCTTCAGTGGGTCTGTTCAGCAGGGAGAGCAGCGCCCCGCGCTGTCCTATGAGGCAGTAGCTCCACACTGTTTTCGGTGCACTGCCCAAGTGATGCAGCTCCTTCAGACCAAGCCCCAAGGCTGCAGTCCCTTCCCTGGACTTAAGGCAGCCTTCTGCCTTGCAGCCCCAGCCCCACCCCACTGAATCTCCATTCCGAGCTGTGGGACTGGTGAGACGTGAATGAGCTAGGGATTGGACACAGCAACAGCCACTGCCTTCTCCCCCCCCCTCCCGCCACTTGGCTGCCTGTCTTTCTCCCACTCGGCTGCCTGAAGGAGGACAGCTGTCTCCACCACTGGACAGGAAGGTAGGAAGGGCTGGCTGGCCAGCAGATCAGCGCTGCTGAGCCCCCGTCTTGGGGCTTCCTCGCTATATCCAAGCGATCCCTGCCTGGTCCGATTCTGCCTGCCAGATGTGCAGAGCCCTTGCCCAATCCTGTTGCACAGGTTTGGCAGATGTGGAGGAAGCTCCGGCCAGCGAGATTCCAAAAGTAGATTGAGACTGCCATGATGTGAATGGAATGGGATTCAGCAAAGTTTCTCTTCCTCACCCCCATTTGCTCTTGTAGGAGCCGTCTCTTTCCTG